GTTAATGGAATGAACCTGTTGTATATTTTGTGGTTGATTGAACTCTCTCTGCCCCCTTCATTCGATGATGAACTCGATTGAAGGTGAAATTCCACTTTGATTTGCTACATTTTGTATGAATCTGTTTCAATTTGTCTGATTATTTCGTTCTTGATGTATTCTTGATGTTGTAGGATACTCATCGACATCGTAGTGGGCGTACATTACGTTCACATACAGCTGCTCAACGTGAAAAAGAAGAGAAGGAACGTCACAGTAAGCATTTTGTTAGTTCAGTGTTTGTAATTTTTTGATTCCGATTTCTGTTTACTGACAGGAAACAGTTTGTGATGGATTGTAGAAGAAATTGGTGTTGATTTGATGAGGTAGAAAGAGGAGTGTGATGGAAGATTTGTGTATGTGTCATTAGTACTATAAAGTTTGGGACTTATGAATTACCCTGTATTAAGTGGGTGAGACGCGACAGCAAAGAAGTGATCGTCTAGTAACTAGATTATATTCATAGTTTTGCTTTTATTGGTGTTGATTCAGTCAGTCAGTCAGTCAGTCAATCAGTCAGCTACAATGTAGAACCAGGCACATATATGTATCAGTCCAAGTTGCCATACCGCATTAACACAACAAGATGGACACCGGATTCATAAAAGTAGTTAATTCAGAGGTGGTAATATATAAAAGAAAGATTGCATATAAGAATATAGTACACGAAGAAAGAATTAGTTGGTAAAAAGAAAGATATGAAGCAATTTTAATCTCTTAGTTTAAGGGAAGATAGAGAGTGTATACACCTACGCCATTGTGATCGATTCTGAGCCTTGTCACCAAGAGTCTCCAACCATTGGTTACGATAGTCACGCGGACCCCAACCAAGTAGTCTGCATCTACCAACATGGCTCAGACTACAAGTTAGTGACTTCATGCACTGATGCCACGTTTTGGTTTGGCCACCCCTAACTTTCTTCCAACCATCCCGAACACCGGTTAGCATTGTACATCGTGGTAATCGGTGTTCGGGCATACGTAACACGTGGCTCAACCATCTCAGTCGATGAAGATTCACAACCTCATCAACTGATTTACCATCATTCCCTAATACCCTGTGTCTAACCTCAATATTACTTACCCGGTGATCCCAGCAGATGCCAGCAATATTTCTAAGGCATCTGTGGTCAAATACTAGTAGCTTACGAGTGTCTTCTACTCTTGATGGTCATGTTTCGCTGCCGTAAATTAAAACAGAATGGACTGCCGCGCAGTATACTCGTCCTTTTATTGATAGACGGATATCTGGCCTTCGCCATAGGTGAGGTAATTTGGCAAAAGTCAAGCGAGCTTTTTGAATCCGTGCTGAGATTTCGTCAGACACCAGCCTATTTGGGCTGATCAGACTTCCAAGATAGGTGAAGTTGTCAACACGTTCGACTACTTCACTCCCTATCCTTAGTTCAGGTGTTGACGCAGACCAGTCCTGAAGCAACAACTCGCATTTAGAGGGAGAGAAGCGCATTCCAAACATTCTGGAATTGTTGCTCAGTGCTACCGAATAACTGCATTTTATCAGCGTCTTCACCACAACAGGACTTTGTCATCTGCGTATTCTAAGTCGATAAGTGGACCTCCTGGAAGGAGATCAATACCCGAGAATTCAGTAGACGAGAATGTTATTTCCATCAATAGGTGTATGATGAATTTAAACAAAAATGGACAAAGTTGACAGCCTTGAAGGACGCCACTCGAAGTTGCAAAATCAGATGACAGTTCGCCATAAGCTCTGACTCGACTAGTAGTGTTCGAGTAAAGAGCCTTCACAAGGTTTATGTATTTCTGAGGTACGCCTTTCAATGACAGACACTGCCACAGAATCTGGCGGTCTACAGATTCAAATGCTGCTTTTAAGTCGGAAGAGACCACCATTGTCGGGCGCCGATAAGTATGCCTGTGTTCTAGAACCTGACGATTCTCTCGTGTTTGCAGTTCACGAGTCTTAGTTAAGCGTCTGATAATTATCGAGGCTAGTGTTTTAGATACTATATTAGTTAAACTAATCCCTCTATGGTTGTCACAGGATGATTTTGACCCTCTCTTTTATATTGGGACGATAAGTGATTGTGACCAGTCAGATGGAATAACGTCTAATTGCCAGATCTTAGCTAAAATATTAGTCAACCTGATTGCTAAAATTGGACCACCATCCTTAAAGACCTCTGGAGTCAATCCATCTGGACCAGCTGCCCTTCCTCGTTTCATATTAGCTATAGCCTTTTGAATTTCAGCTAGAGTTGGGGGACCTACTTCAATGTTCCATTCACACTGTCTGGGAATGGAGGGTAGTTGTAGAGTAGCTGAAGGCCAGCTGAACTGTTCTCTGAAATGTTCTGCCCATCGTTCTAAACGTCTGGACTGGGAGCAGATGAGAGTGTCGTCTTTTTCCGAAATAGTGTGACTTACACTTGACTTATTAATTCCAGTTTCTTTTATTAGTCTGTAGATCTGTCTTGTGTTCCCTATAGCCGCCGCCTTTTCCATCTCTTTTGCTTTCGTTATCCACCACTGCTCACGGTCATTCCTTATACTTTTGGTTAACCTAGATCTGATTTGTTGTCGCTCTTCATCGTGTTCAGAGTCTGATGAGATGAGTTTACGAGAATCCATCAGTGCAATAGACCTTGTGGAAATCCATTGTTTCTTTGTAACCCTGTGGTTTAAATCACTGATAGATGTCACTGCTGTTTCCACAGCTGTTTGTGTATCTTTCCAAGCAACATCTGGGTCAGCCTCGTTTTCAGAACTACCTAATTGTGACCTCAGTTGTTCCTGGAACCTACTTTTGGTTTTCTCGCTAATCAATTCAGTTCTAATGTGTCTTTTTAGTGGGTCTTTTTTGCGTCCAGTGAGGCGCAAGTGGATGCGTGCCCGTATTAGGCGTGGTCGGAGTCCAAGCAGGTACTCCAGAATGAGCGACAATCTTCAACCGACCCTCTCCAAGTATGACTGATGGCAATATGGTCTATTTGAGTTCATCGTTGGTTTGGTGTAGGGGGTCGCCATGTTAGACGATGTCTCTCCTTATGCTTAAGATTTGTGTTTGCTAAAAATAAACGATTGTCTGAGCACAGTTGCAGCAGACGATCACCATTGTCTGTTCGTTGTGCCGGAATACTAAAATACCCACCTAAATGCCTTTCTGTTTGGTTTAAACTACCTATCTGGGCATTAAAGTCACCGGCTACGAGTACTATGTCTGAACGTTTAGCTTTCTGAAGAAGTTCAGATAGCTTTCTGTAAAATTCATCTTTCATTTCATTTGGGCTGCAGTCAGTGGGAGCATAGGCAGAAACGACAAAAAGGCAACGACGTGTGTCCCTATCCTTCCGAGTTCTTACGGAGCCGTTTAGCCGAACAGCACATAAACGACTGTTAACGAGGATCCACTCTAACAGTGCTTGTTCCGCCCTCATGCTTGGTGCTATCCCTACTCGTGCCAGTCCACGAGAGCTGGCCATCGGGTCACCAGATACACGGAAGGTGTATCTCGTTGGCTCTCCGTTTTGCCGAGGTGAGATCAAGTGAATGATCACACTGGAATCCTGTATGCGTGTTTCAGAGACACAGCATACATCATTTGTACGAGATTCTAGGATTCTAGCCAAGGAAGCCTGTTGACCGATTTGACATAGGGTGCGTACGTTGAAGGCTCCAATATGTAGTTTGGAGCGAGGTTTCAGTAGACCTGGGACAGTGTTTTGAACGCTAGAATCGTTGGCTATGGTGACACTTGAGGGGGAAGCCGAAAAAGGAAGTTTAAAGGTGAAAGTCGATGTAAGAGGAATAATAGGAAGTGAAGACGGAGGTTGATTATGAATACAGTGGTCTTGAGTGCCGTGAGAGGTATGAGGGCGGTTATCAGTTACCGGTTGCCCACACCGTGGAAGGGTTGTTCTGGAGGTACCTGAAAAGGAAATTGGATTAGAGGTGGTCTTAGTGACCTGAGAGCGTGACCGCAGTGCCCAAGGGCCAACTGCTTGAGGTCGGTCACACACGACGTTTTTATGGGTAATTTTTGTGTTAGCTCCGTACTTGTTGAGACCTTACCACCGGAGACGGATATCCGTGGGATAAGGTGAGATGTGCACTTTTAGGGTCGACCTTTTCTAACCCCACCCTTGGTTGTGGGAAGGCAGCACCGCTGTTGTGCTGGTTGTCTGAAGGAAACACCTTACTGCTGCCACACCTCTGTACAATCAGCAGTACGACTTTACCTTCGGACCTTGGGTTTGTTGCCTTTAGTCTTACCACTCTTCAACCGACCTTTCTGACATGGTAGGACCTTAAGGAACGATTGTTCCAGCCAGTATAGCTCGGTTGCTTCATCACGATAGGCGAGCGCGACCACCACTTCAAGGTAGCAACAACGGTCGTGTTGATTGATTGATGTTTGTAGTGTAATGGATGGATAGATGGATGGATGAATGGTTCGATTTTGTAATAATCTCCAGTTTAATACATGCACATTGGTCTGTTGCCAAAAGGGTTTAATTTCTATTTAATTATGTGAATATGTGAAAAATGTATAACTCATTCAGTTGGTCAGCCAATCTTTGGTACTATAGGGCATTAGAAAATGCATCGTCATCATCATCATCACACATAATGACACAAGAATATTGTGAGAATAAATTGCCAAGGTAAAAATAATGTAATTGAAGTGGTGAAATACTACAGAAAGGTAGCTCACATAAAACCGAAAGTGAGTAAGACTTTATTTTTCTTGAACATTTCATATTGGTGTTTATTGGAAAGAAACAAGTGATTGATGGGAAGCTTGGTAACAGCTTCGATTCTATGTTAGGAAGTCGTACATCGTTTATGGAAGCATTCTGGAGTATAAAACTCATCTGTGAATAGTGATCATAAAGTCAGTGAGATTGTGGTGATGTTTTCTGTCAGTTTTGTAGAATGTAATTGATGTACGTTGATGACACTATTTTTTCTCTATTTAGCGGATGACGCTACTCCGATTAAGAAGCGTAAACTTCGTTCTCGTTCGGATACTGTGACAAATCATGAGAATATCAGTCACCAGAGTCGTAGTGGTGGTGGAATTGGGACAGTAAATGTAAATAATTCACCTGTAACAACTGTTCATGCTGGTTCGTCAACTGAATCTTCTAATGTGTCGTTGTCTTCAAATGCTGTTGCAAACATGGATGTGATTGAAGATACACATGGTTGTTCAACTGTGACTGCTTCTTCTCAAAGTGACAGTCACATGGATAATGAAGAGAAGAAGGTGTCTGTCGGTAGTTCTCAGTCTACAGTGCTGATGGATAAAGATACTACTGATGTGCATATGACTTGTGTTTCTGAAATGGAAGGAGGACATTCTGTTTCATCGTCTACCACCACTTCTTCTACTAATACTACTGCTACAACTACCACTCATACTCATACTCCTACTCCTACTAATACTACTACTACTACCACTACTGACAATGATAACAGCAACAAAATGGAAGTGGATGGGAAACCAGAGATGTGTGGAACTGCTGTGTCAGTTGTGACATTGAATATGGATGGATCGAATGATGTGAATGTCGTGTCATCAGTCTCCGAAGTAGGAGTGACGACGGTGGTAACAACAACAGTAGGTGTAGCAGGAATAGCAACATCAACTCCATCATCATCGTCATTAGCGGAACAGATAAGTGGATGCTATAGTGAAGCAGATTGTGATATGAGTTATTTATTTTGTCCCTCTGCTCCTGGAGATGAAGATCGTAAAGATGTTGAGTTGTTGAAATTTCAAAATCCATATGACAAAGCTGCTGAACTGAACAAGAATGTAAGTGGTTTCAGTCAGTTAGTATTATTGATAATGAATGTTGACTGGTTGGTTGGTTGTTGAGTGGGGATACATTTAAGTAGTATTATATTATCAGTAGTAGTATTTGTAATAGTGTAATGTTTGCTGGGGAAGTGTTAACAGAAATATTGTAATGATTGCTTTGTTTTGAGTGAAATATATGTCGATAAATTTAACTCCTTATGTATGACAGCTGTACTAATGAGATTTTTAAATTCTTTGCATGGCTTGTTTTGATGCAATCAACTACACTACTACAACAGTTGCGTGAACTTGTCAATAATCTGGTGAAGGTCCATCCGAAAGCACCTTGTGGTTATCAAGATTACCTGTTGGTTACTCGTAATTACCTATTGGCTAATCAACTCTCATTTGCTACATATGTGAAACGTGTAAGTTTTTTAATTATTTTTTGCATTGTTTTTTAGTAATGAGTGAGTGTTGTATAGTGATAGTAGCAGTATTGGTTGTATTTAAACGATAATTATTGGCTTTGTAGTAGTTGTAAATACTGTTTTGTTTGGTGAAGGCGATTTATAATGTTAATTCGTTGAATATGGTGTGATATTTGGCGACTTGAGTTTGTCATTGTCATTCGTAAGTGTTTATTGTTCGATCTAATTTGTTTTTCTACCTGAAGTGTGTATGTTTGTGTTTTTTAAAACTGGTTCATAATAAAGACGGACTACCTGAATTCACCACATCTATGTGTATTTACCAGTTCAACTACTTCTGTGAAACCAGTTATGTAGGGTGTACAATTCGGCAAGTCCGTTATCGTATTGCAGAGCACCGTACGTGTTGGTTGAGCAAAGGACAGATAAGAATGGTTAAGAGTTCTATTCCCGCTGACTTTGTGGACACATGTCATCAAGTTAACTTGAATAAAACTTTTAAGGTTATCTACTATATTCCATCAAATTTACCATATGGTTTACGAGTTCGTCTGTTGCATATCACTGAAGCCATCGGAATCCATATTTATAAATCAAACCTTTACATCCGAAAGAGGTTTGTACAACCATTCTCACCGATTTGTCCATCGGTATAGGAGTGAATTTGTAGCTGAACTTTTTTGTAACCCTTTCCTTCAAAAATATTTGAACTATTTTCCAATTTCTTCCACTTTTGTATTTTTACATATTCTCAGCATTCGTCTCTAGATTCTTACATAACTACAATGATACTGACCTTTCATCAAAATATTCTGTTAGTCCCTTCTTTTTGTATATTGTGCATTGCAGTACCTGTTCAAATTTTCGATTGGTTACTTTGATTACTATGATCCCCTTCCTTTCAATTACTCAATATTATTTTATAATTAATGTGTCATTATACAATTATTATGTAACATAACTACTCAACGAGTACTATTTCATTATTGTAAGTGATATATATTAGTGTAGAGCCATGATGAGAATCTAATTATAAAGAAATTTCTTCGGTTGGTCAATTGATTTTTTTTGATCCGATGTTTTGAATCACGCTAGTTGCTGTGTATTGTGATGTGTGTGTGAGGTGTGTAGGTCCCAACTACGTTGATGTTATGTGACTAGTTGATCATTCCAGTGAGCTGTATGACCTGTTGTGTGATTGCACTCACTCATGGATGAGTGTCTACACTGTTAACTATTAGGGTGACCTTGATTGTCAAGTTATGTACTAGAATGAGTAAGTGAAGACTGAAACATTGTGATGTTTTACGATTTAGTGGTTATTCCAGTCATGAATGAGATGTGTAAACATTGAGGCAGTTTATTCTATGAGTCATTTAGGACGCTGTTTGTTTTTTTGTGAGTTGTTTATTAATCGATTTGTTTGTCTTATTTGTTTATCATGTAGTCAGCACCGAGTCATTTGGAAGCGACGTTTGTGGAATTATTCAATGAACAAGAAGAAGAACGCTATGCTCAGGCATTGAAACACCAATCGGAACGGGTAAGTGTTGGTATTTACTGTGTTGGATGCGTATTTTGTGTGTATGGGCATGATTAGAAATAGAGTGATTGAAAGTGAAATATTTTGTCAATACTTAGTAGTAGTGATCTAAGCATTGTGTTGTGTGTGTGGATTTGAATGACGACAGAGTTGTTAAAGTAAAAGATATGACATATAGTAAGTGTGACTTGGAGATCGTTGACGACAAGAGCAGTAAGGAATAAACTGTCCACGAAACACGCGTCCTGGATTCCATTGCTAGCCACTATCCATCATAGCTTACAAAAAGCTTGTGAATTTAAGCAATATCGAGGCATACGCAAGGTATGCACATATGCCAATAACAGGCTGATCAGTTGCAGTCTCAAACCTCAATAGGAAGATACAAGCCAAACAATACCAAGTGAATTTAAACTGTTCACTGTTGTAAAAATGGTTTTGATGAATGTGAAATGTTTTATTTTGTTGTATGGACAAGAGAATAGACTGTATTTGTATGTCAATGACGGTGAGATTGGTACGGAATTAACGTAATGTTGATATTTGTGGATTATTTTGCCAACGTTTTTTCATTTGAATTGTAATTTTCATAATCGTTAGTTGATTTCAGATCTGTATGCTTATGGTAATGACAAATGTTTGTTTGAAATACACTGAATGTTTATTTCAGCTGACTTTTTCTAGCCTTTTATTATTGTTTGAAGGAACACTTACAACTGGGCGCAGAACAAGCTGTTTTACGTGCTCAAACACGTGGTGCTTTAGCAGTGGCCAATCAATCGAAACCATATTCGTTTTGTTCAATATTATCCTATAATGATTTGACGTATATTCCACCAGTTGGGAAATTAGAGAATCGAGTGAGTAATAATAGTATATTTGTTTTCTCTGTTTTGTTTGTTTATGTTTATATAATTCGAGTTTATGAAACGAGTCAGTGATGTGTTGTCATATTAGTCGGCAATGTGAATATGAATATTGGAAGGTGGTGAGATGTTGTCAATCCTTTATATTTATCATCTGTTGGTGATATGGTTTATGTTAGTTTTGTATGTATTCAGTGTGTGTGTGTGTTTGTGTTGTGAAGCCGAGATTAATGTGTTGGTGCTGGGAGTTAGTGCAGAATGTTTTCAAAATGATCGACTTGTGTTGAGTGGGTTTGTTTAGTTTTCCGTGTATTGTTTTGTAAAGGTGAGTTCGTATGTGACTTGGCTTTTGGAGTTTTCTGTATGTTTCTTAACTTCGTTGTTATCGTTACTACTGTTGACATAATATATTGTGAGATTGTGGTCTTGTAATGAGATAAAGATCCTTATTCCACTGCAAAACGGAGAACGATTTTGTTGAAATGCTGCTCTCCACTGTTTAAAATATGCGCAGGCGCATATGTTGTGTTTGTCGACTCATATGTACATTTGTGGTGTATGCTACTTATGTCGACAGACGTAATTAGTGTGTTGTAACAACAGTCAGATATGAAATGTCTGATAGCCGAAGGTAGGGAAGATTGAACTGAAGAAAAGAGAAAGAGAAATATGAAGGAATTGGGAAGTGGAACAATCATGAAGGATGTAGAGGCTGATTGATGAAGTATTCGCAAATGAACTATTTGATATGGTGGTGAAATGTATGGTTTTCACATTTCACGAAAGAACTCTGTAATTTTACATTAGACAATAAATTGGTCTTCCGCACTGTGTAGATGGCTCTCGGTGAACTCAAGGAAGCCGAAGACATTCCATCTAATCATCTTTTGGAAGAACATTCTAGGATGTCGACGTGTGGCTTCCCGACTGAACAAATGCTAAAAACCACTGCATGCGGATTGGATGATTTTAGTGATTATTTTCTTTTTTACTAAGAACTATGAATACCCGAGTGTTTAGTACCATATTTGATTGGTTGTAAGAAACTTCGTGTGGAAGATATTTCATCATATATTTTTCTAACTATTATATTGTAATAATGATTATTAGCACCATAGAAGGAATAGCTAAGCACAATAGTGCGCCATGAATTGGGCTACATAAAGCGTATTAAATATTTTTATGAAGCATTCGAGGAGGAAAAATTTGATACCATGATGATGCTGATCGATAATTGAAAACCATCATGGTGTATGTCTTGAACGGTACATTCGGATTCGTTTATCCAGTTGAATTTTCTGTTTTGCTAATCTTGTTTCTTGTGAAATTGTGTAATTGTTAATGAGTAGTAGTCGTATTAGTAGTTACAAAGTATGCTTCAATGTGAACAATCGCGAATAGTGTTGTCTTTGTGACTTCTACTTGTTGCTGTGAGTGGTTGTTTTGTTTTGAACTTTATCGTCAACTGTGTGTTGTGTTGTTGTGTATGACTGTTGTTGATGTTCCCTGGTTCTGTAGTTAGTTGAATTGAGTAATTTTCACAACTGGATTTTGTTGTGTATTATGGTTTTCTAAACGTAATTTTGTTTTGCTGCTGTCCGAGCAAATTAATTGTTCACTGTATTCGATTGTACATGTTGTGAATGAGAAGAAGAATACTGATGGTTTGTTGAATGTTGTTTTGTTGAGATTAAATCTTTTGGATTGTTGAGATGGGGATCAGCTCACTCCGTGTAGTAGTGCAGTATGAGACGTCTGATGGCAGAGAGTATTACCTACCTACTGTACGAGCTAATTCTCCTACGTATTATGAACAACGGTTTGACTGAAGACAGCGTGCATGAGTGTGCATACTTAGTTGTTGATTTACAGTGTTATTGTAGTTGTATATTTGTAGTGGTGGTGGTGGTGTGGATGTTGCATAAAAGCAACATTGTTTATTTGTTTGAAATTTGCTTGTCGATTGTTTGAACTGTGGGCTTTATCGGTTGTGTGCAATTGAAGCAGATGAAATAGTATTTATGATTGTAAGTTGCTATTCATCATAGGTATCTTTTTACATTGTTGTATTATCTGTTTATATATGTACATATTCTCTAATTTTGTGTGTATGTTTTGGTGTGTTTACAGGAAGAAGAGAATATACGCGATCGTTTCACCCCTCGTACATTTATCGGTTGGCTTCAAGACATTATCGATACATTTCAGAATGAAAAGGTGAGCTGAAGCATAATTTGATTGTCATTTATTTGGGGGTTGTGAAGTTACCTGATAATTCTGAACGTTTTGAAGTCAAACTGATGGTTGATTGATTAATATGGTTGAAGTTGTTTTGCGGTGAAATAAGAACATGAAGGAATTTGTCAGGTACGATGGATGAATAGAAATATTGGTACAGACGACAAAGTCAAGCATCTTGACAATGAAATGAGACTATATAAAAGAGCATTTACCATATAAACGGTGTTAACCTATAAGTAAATAAGGTGTTTTGTTGTTGTGATGGACAGTGTCGGAAATCTGATGTTGATACACGATGTGCTACATGCTAACTCCCGACCTGCCTACTTAAGCGAAAAAACATGATTGGACGGGAAAGTACTTTGCCCTACCGAATGATATGCACAAATACTCATTTTTATATATCCCGTAGAAAATCAATCCATTTCTGAATGAGTGATATACACTAGTCCTCCATATTAGTTCTGAATGTGATTGAGTGAGCTTTTGGGTTGGCCACTTCTGATTGGCTCACTGTGTCACTTGGCAGATGAAAGGTTAATTCAGTCAGTAAGAATACTCTATGGATGAAATCTCTACACTCTGTTAGCTGAGTCTAGGGGTAGGATTTCACGACTGTGACTGGGGTGTTACAGATGTCGCATGAAGCTTGGTTGTGTGTGAAGACGTTGCGGATCGATCGTTGCATGTGTACTGTAGAGTGTAACAACAACACTAAATGCTTTATATCTGTTCATGGTGTCCTCCTCTCACTCTCATCTGTGTTTTTGCTTGTACATTTTTGTATTTAGAAGAAATTACTCTGTCGACAACTTCATGAAGCTGAGTCACTAATGATGGTGCAGAAACTTGATTGGGAAATGAAAACGCGTGAAACATTGGCGTCGAATATCGATTGTATTGGTGTTGTGGATGTATTCAAAGACATTCCAGCTAATTATGTTCCACTAATCCCAGTGCCTAATGATTTTCCACTGTTCGCTCATGACCCGGTACATCGAACGACAACGGCTACCACAACAACAGCTGCGCCGGTGGCGGCGGCGACAACAGCGACGACAATGTCAACCACACCGAGTACTTCGATCCCCATCACCCCTACTACCAACACCACCACACACACCGCTGTCAATAATAGCCCAACGGTATCAGCAACGACAACTACGCTGACTAACAACTCATGATTGATATGATGAAGGGGACTTGTTGTTTTCATTTTCTTAGTGATGAAATTTATGCATTTTGTCATACTTCTTCTTTCTTAGCTTTGATTTGACTTTGCCTTCTCATCTCAACAAAAACAGCCGGTAAACTACTGACATTCTACTTCTTTATCCTCCTCATCAGATTGACTTTGTGTTTGTGCGTGTCTGTTTGTTTGTGTACATACTGTGTGTGTTGATGGATTGACTAATTTTCCAATGATTTTCTGTTGTCATCATCCTTGTCCTCGTCCGTATTTATGGAATATTAATATGTCTACTGAATGTGTATCTGGTAGATTGATGATGCTGAACAGTTCGTGTATATGTGTGTGTGTGTCGGAGTTTTATTTCTGTGTTGTGGTGAAACTGTCTTTATGATGTAATTTGCCAGTGTCAATAAGACTGGTAACAATAATCATTGTTAATTTTACTATGATTTGTATAGTTTCTTTATTTATGTATTCAGCTACTTATTTGCGTAATTAATTAAATGCATATGTTTATGTACCTGAATTATGTGAGTAAATATATTTATTTTTTCCTTTGGAATAGTGAGGTTTTCCCTATTCTAAAGGATACAGTATGGTGTCCAAGTTTGAAAATGTAGCGGATTTGAAATCCTACGATTTTCTCTCAAATTGTTTTAATATCGCTGTTTATTTGGGTATTTGTCATCGTTAGACAAAACTGTTGGTACTAAGCCGTAGGAAATGTTTGAGGGTATGTTTGGACGTGACTGTAGTGTCCAGTATCAGTATACACATTTGATGAAGACGTTTGTGCAAGCGTCTGGGATTTTCTAGATGTCCATAAACCAAAGTTCTAGACAATAATATTTGGTGTGTTTTTGTGTTTCGGATTGGTGTTTCTCTTTGTGGATATTTTTGTTAAGATGGAATTTATTTTAGGGGGAATGATTTTTCAGTTGACGAGTATAGGAAGAGTGACTTAGAAACGTGCAGTTTTTAATAACTAATCATTAAAATTAATATTAAAGACTTTAGAAGGATGTAATAAAATGAAATAGCCGTTCGTTACAATAAAGTGTTAGCTGCATGAAAGAATGATGGATTTCACGTGTCTCTTTTGCCCACAGATTTCACTTTCGAGAAGATGGATTTCTTGCGCTTCTGCAGTGTTTATGTTAATAATTAGCGCTGCTATCGAGCCAAATCTTTTTGACCGTTTAGATTATTTGAAAGAACATATCAAGTAAGGCGATGTAACTGAAGTTCATAGATTGCTTTAATATTGAAGTGCTGATTGTTTTATGTTAACCTTCTGTAAGCTACTCAGGATTATGTTTGGAGATAGGTGTGGGGAGCGCTTGCTTTGTGTGGCCGATGTATCCTGCTCCATAAGAGCAGGTGAATTTCTAAACAGATTGAGGTGACCCAATACGAGGATTTATTGTTGACACATCGATGGATGATGGGACGGTTGGAAAAGATAATTCGAAGCTTGGTAGTATGAAAAGCTTTCCCGGAGATTTCTGTAAGTGATTCATCAAAATTTCCACAGTGATGTTTCCCTTGAACTTGATTTTCATGGAGAGAGTTTTCCCAGGAACGGTGTGAGGTCTTGTAGATTGTAATCTAGGTCTGATGTACCGGTCAACAAACCTGAATGGATAGCCGTTCTTAAGAAATATTTGTCGAGTTTGGATAGTTCATCGTCTATCATATTATCCGAGCTTTTTCACTTAACCGTTGATGATAAAGATTGAATTAGTTTTCTCTTTCTATTTGAAGAGATCCAGCCGTAACTATTGGCATATAATCCATTCCAAGTTGGTTTTCGTTATATCGACCTTCCGTAATGTACCATCTTGTCTTCTATTTAATGAAACATCGAGGAAATGAAATTTTGATTCCAATGTAAATTTGATGTATTTAGGGTAACTACTGAATGTTATTTTATTGATTTATTTTAACACATAGATATTGGTACAAGGAGGCACCGAATACATATACGTCACACAAATCTCATTCGATATGTGTGAGGGCTGTGACACTGACCGGGTGCCCAAACCGAACCAGGTGGTTTTCTTAGGGGGCCACTCTTCGAGCCTTCGACCTAAAGGTCTGATCCACAAGGCAGCGGAGCATCGTAAGGACATGCACTCTTATGATAGCCGGTGACTAACGATTGGTTCATACGCCATTTGTTCCCGCAGGATCCTGGAGCCCATGTGCACCATTGGTTTGGAATCCGGTTAAAGCACCGGACATTCGCTTTTCTTCCTCTCATTTGCGTAAACTACACCCGTACCACGAGAAGGCAGTGAGTAGGACTTCCCTGGCAGAGGTTGTGTGCTTGTGTTCATGTGAGTGCATGTCGAGAGGGAGGGCTCACCCCACTCTTGGCCATACCAGGTCATTTGGGGGCCTTATCTAGGTATTCTCATCAGCCCTACTGGTCTGGTGTGTGATGAAATCTCAGCATGGATACAGAAGGCTCAACTATTGAATGAGAGAGAGAGAGTCTTGTTTGCATTGCATATCATTGTCATTTTGTACGTGATATTGTCTAGTCATATGTGTTCGTATTTATTTGCACTGTGAAGTTGCTTTTTTGATAGATCATAATTTCTTGTTAGAAATTGGATGTATGATTATTAAAGTAATAGATATGTAGCTAATCTAGTTCTATATGTTTTAATGTATTACAAGTTTTCATAATGTATTTGTGTTACCGTACTACAAGCATCTATAAAAGCTGTCTGTGTTTGTGTGTAAACTAAGTAATGATGTCGGTAATATGTTTATTGGAGTGAGTGTCCGAATTATAGTCTTCATAACAGATTGACCACCGGATATTTATAGATCATCGTTTAACAGTTAGAAACGAAACAGAGATAGTATTCCATAAAGTGAAATGAAGTAATGTCAAATATATGCCATGATTTCTGAAATCCATCAGTTGATGGATAAAAAAGACAATGCTCATATATTGACAACATACCTAATATATTAGACTATATCATAGTAGAATTCATTATATTTGTGGTTAGCGTTTTTTAGCTAGTTAGTTTTCTGCGGGATAAGGTTGCTAATCCCATGCCCAATCCTCCTCGTTTACCCGGTCTGGGGACCGGCAGTCACACTAGAAGAGCTACAGGCGGAGTTAGAATTCATTACATACAATGGGAATTAGTACAAGTTATAAGTGTATACTTTTTTATTTTGTTTTAACGTAAACAATTTAATGCATTCCCCTATATGGTTTTATATAATTTTACTCATATTCTAAACATCACATGTTACTATCCCATTCTATAGTCATATGACTTTAATTTGTCCATGTGTTTACATTTTAGTTGCTATGTCTATTATGATAGTTTTGTTTTATATCTATCTGTCTGTTCAATGTGTGTCCATCTGTCTATATTTTCTTTTTTGTTGTTGTTGTTGTTGGAATTATTGCTAAGATAGTAATTATTATTTTCGATAAAATCTGAAATTGATATTGTTTATGAATTTTAAGTTGGATTGGTCACTTTATTTTTTTCCACTTACTTATGCCTTTTACTCCCAATGAAGCATAGGCCACCAGGAATCCCTCTAGGGATACTGCCGGTCCCAAGCTCGGATAAGGGAGGAGTGTTGGACATGGGGTTAGCAACCTTATCCCATAGAAAACTAACTCGCTAACAAAACGCTAACCAGGAGAAAAACGCTATTTTTTCCGCAATGATCTATATGACAACATAACCTGATGTTTAGAAAGTTTTCTTCATTTTTCTCATAACATTTGTATATATTGTTTACTGAAGTGTTAGATGAATAAAAATTAGTAAGAACCTTTACGGAACACTAGTATATGAGATTGATCTATTTCATGTTTGATCCTATCGTTATAGAAAAAGTTTTATTTATTTATTATTATTTAAACACATGAATATTGGTACAGAGGGGCACTGAATATATATGCGCCACATCAGTCACTTGATTTGTGTGAGGGCTGTGGTACTGTCCGGGTGTCCAAACCGAAACAGGTGGTTTTCTTAGGGGGCCATACCACTGAGCCTTCGACCTACATATCTAATCCACAACGCAGTGTAGCAACGTCAGCAGATGCAGTTCCATGGTAGTTGGTGACCAATAATTAGTTCATACACCATTTGTTCCTTCAGGATCCTGGAGCCCATGTGCACCTTATGTTTGGAATCAGGGTTTTCCAACATCTATATGTGATCTCTCCGTGTTCACCAATCCGGTTACCGCACCGGAAATTCGCTTTTCTTCCTCTTAATTTGGTAAACAAAAGTAATGCCGCAAGAAGGCAATGATTAGGACTAGGACGAAACTGCCGTTCAGTGCTTCCAAATTTTCCATAGTGATCTAGCTTCAATTAACTCATGAATTCAACTATTAAATTACTATAATATCCATAAAAACCCCTTTTAGTGAATTCTTCAATTCACTATTTATATTTATTACATAGAATATAGTTCATATGATTGTTTATCTTTTTATATCACATATTTGTTTTAAATTAACCTTCAAGAGTGAAATTTAAAGTTCAAGGTCATCTTGACTTATATTTTATTTCTATTGAATATTATATCTCAATCTAAATGGGAATGATTTATGATGTAAAATAATTCAATTCCTTATAACAGTTTGTTTAGATGATGTTTAGTCAATATATGTGTAGGCGTAATATCTAATTTGTGTAATATGTACATTATTTCACCTTTTTTTTTCTTTCAATATATTTACAAATAATCCTTCAGGATTGGGTTTCATCGATACCTGAGTTAATGATAAGGAGTGAAGTAGTTGAGCGAGTCAACCGGCTTCACTTATCTAGGGAGTCTTATCAGCCCTAGTGGTCTGGTGTGTGACGAAATCTCAACACGGATACAGAAGGCTCGACTAGCTTTTGCCGATTTGCGTCATTGATGAAATAGGCGAGATATACGTCTACCAACCGAAGGATGGGTTTACTGTGCAGCAGTTCATTCCGTCCTACTTTATGGCAGTGAAAGATGGCCGGTAAGAGTAGATAGAGGATATTCGTAGGTTACTAGTATTAGATCATAGGTGTCTTCGAAACATTGCTCGTATATCATGGGACCATCGAGTAAGTAACACAGTTGTTAGGAAACGAGTACTAGGTAAGGATGGCAAATCGATTGATGAAGTGGTGAAACTTCATCAGTTGAGATGGCTGGGACATGTGTTACGTATGCCTAACCACCGACTACCTCGACGTGCGATGCTCAATGGTATAGGAGTAGGTTGGAAGAAAGCTAGGGTCGGCCTGACCAAAACATGGCACAAGTCCATGAAGTCACTGACAAGTGGACTGAACCATATTGGTAGATGTAGACTACCTGGTTGGGGTCCGCGAGACGATAGCAACCGATGGTTAGAGACCTTGAATGGCATGGCTCAAAATCGTTTGCAGTGGCTCAGGTGCATCCAATCTTTGTGTTCTCCCAAATTATAATCTTCTGAATTCTTCATGTACCTTCTTTTTTTCTTTCCAAATTTATTTCACTGGATTATACTCTTTGGATAACATCTTCAAACCCTAATATTTCCGATTACTGCTTACTCTCACTATGGAATTTGAACTGGCAACTGCATCTCTGTGCTAATGTGGTATGGCAACTC